GTTTTATCATTCACAGCTCTCTGAATGCGCTTCTCCACTTCTTCTGTCCTAACAACTTTTCCTTCCTCTTTCTCTATTGTGTGAAGTTCGCAAATCACATGATCTTTCACCACTGTAATTTGCTCTTTCATCTTTTGGTCTTCTTCTGTTTCTTCGACCACGTGTACATTAAACTGCTCCTTTTCATTGTAGTGGACATCGATTTCTTCTTTAACACATTTTTCCATGAATTCCTCTAGAACGGCATCAACTGATATGTTCTGCTTACTAACAGCTTGTGATCGTCTTTGTCGATCGCTGGCGTTCCTCTTTTCTGCGTTTTTTGTGCACTGAATCCTATCAACACTGCTAGTGCTAAAGCCTACAAAACAGTCCGCCTTCTTTTGTATGTACTTTCTATATCCACTGAGCCTAGTATACGCCTGCGAGTCATAGTGATAGGTATAACTGATGCTTTGCTGACTCTTGTGGCCATAATAGTAGCGGTCAACCCGTTTCTCCCATGGATTTCCACCACCGGATTGATCGATGAGAGCAACGTCATTTCCATTACTACCAGGGTCGCCAGGTCTGCCACACTTTCAATCCTGACCATCGCTTCCCTTCTTCATTTCTAATCTAACACCACTTATTCGATCTCCTGAAGATATTCTTCTCGCTAAGAACTCTCCTCGATTTCCTCCTTCCCCTCCGACGCCATTACTACCTCCTTCCGTACCCATAGTTCCTTTGACCCCTTTCAAAACCATTCTGAAATCGTAAACAGTGCAAAGAAGTTTTCGCATTCCTGCAATTGCAAAATCCATTTGGCGACCATCGTCACATTTATAAGTCCGTTCTATCCATTCCTCAAAGCCCTTGTATTCACTACGGCCGAATGTTTTGGTCCACTTGCTACCAGGATCGTAATCCCTGAATTTGCTCCAGTCACACAGGTATAGGGAAGTATATTTTGGTAAAAGCGAATCCAAATCCTCTTTAGTATTTCCTTTTCCATGACGTCCGTTAACACCATCCCCGCCGTCTTGTCCTCCTTTTCCATCTCCTCCATTCAACACGACCTTTAACTTTTCGGGATTCTTGACTACGTTTGCACAGAGAAGAAAGTTTCC